ATTTCGTCATTAATCGCTGCAAATGGGTAGCAGCTGTGAGCAAGCATGGAGTAATACTGCTGATGTAAGAACTGAGCCTAAATTCTCTTTATTAAAACGAGACTTCCAGTCTGAGCAAGAAGAAAGGGACACTCTAAGCCAAGGTAATAATTCAGTCATGTGATCATTATTTTGAGCTATCGATGATAAATTGAGCAAGCAGCAACTTTTCTTGAACTATCATCATTGACTGAATTAGTATCCAAATTGTCTAGATCTTTAGCTCAATAAACAAGGGAGAGAAAGGAATTACACAAAGAATTTAGATTATGGGAAAATAAATGGTTGGTCAACTGACAAACTCAGCTCATAATAGAATGCACATTTATTGAGGCTTGACAGTGGTAAGCTGGCTCTATATCCACCAGTGAACCATGAATCATTAGCAATCAATAACTTCAGAGAAATGATGATGGAAACATGGATTCAATAGAGTGTCAATCAATGTTTGGTTCTTTATAAAGAACACCCACTTCATCTAAATAATGTGGGACTAGGGCTGTGCGATTTGGCGGAAAATATCAAATTGCGATTTTTTTGACAGATATTGCGATTGCGATTTGATTTGCGATTTTAAATTTGCAAAGTCAAGCTTCAGCTCAATATTGTCAATAATTAATTAACAATTACCCTGCTGAAAAAAAAACAATAGAAACCATCACAGAAATTCTTATAGTTTCCATTAAACCATTACAAAATTCCTTTTTGTTTTGGGCATTATTCCAATAGGAATTACTGTTGTTCTATTGGTTGCCATCTGCCAGATTACATCCCACCAATAGAATCCATCAAATAGACACCATTATAGTTTACATTAAAACCAAACAAATTCCCATTATAACCCTGAAATCCATTACATTTGTTATTGTGTTTTGGGAGGGGTACTATTGTTTTTTTTTTCAGCAGGCAAGATTATAATGGTATAACTACTTTTACAGAATTAACTTAATTACTGAATTTCACAGAAAATATTTGTTTATTTTTTATAAATAAAGAACTGTATTTCTTAAGTAAATTATTAAAGTATTACATATGTTACATAGGCTGATTTATTCATTTTAAGTATTTGGGATTTTAAGAACAAGTGGAAAATGTGCTGAATGTTTCATTTCATCCAAGTGAAATTAGCAAGCAGTTAGACTGAATTTACATTCGTTTTAAACGCGGAGCCAGGCGCGAATCGACACAGGTTGCGCGCGTGCGTCAAGCCTCATCCATACTGCCAGATGCGCTCGTGAAGACTTGCGGTGCGGAGCCGGGTGCGAGTAAAAACGAGCATTACGAGACAGGCTGCGTGAGTGCAGCAAGCATTAACGGCTCGTCCGTGACGCGGGATTCGCGCCGCGTGGGGCAGAGAGGAGCGAGTATGAGAAGCATTCACAGACACAGGCTGTGTGTGCGCTCTTCTGAATTGGGAATAGCCAACATGCATTATAAACTTATTTAAAATTAATCTGTTGGGGAGATAAAATGTGTAAGATAACGTTCACGTACTAACAAAAACATCTAAGAATGTATCTTTTATTCTCCAGTACTGAAAACAGAACCGATAAGGGAGCTTTTGATATGCGCTGTGACGCAGCTCTTGCAAATTACCTTTTTTGGTCGTTGTCTGTCATTTGGAAGCTTAAGTTGCATACGGTTTTCTTTAGTTTTAATTTGCCTAACTATCGATCTGACCCAGTAGACGCCATAATCCCACTCTGTCCCTCTCCCGCTTTCCGTTTTTTTTTTAATTATTAT